ATAACTGATGATATTGGCAATTCTTTTTAAGATAGCAAGAGGCAGTATGGTAAACATTGTTGATCACCTTGTATTTTGTTTTTACATTATTATGTCCGTCCTTTTGATTTGACTGACTGTTCTGTTATGTCACATTTGGTTTTACTCTCTTCAAAAAAAAGTAATAAGAACTGTGGGAGTAATGAAACCCAAAATGTGTAATTGTCATTGTACAAAAGAGAGAAAAAGAAAGTGCTCTAAATGATATAATTGCATGTATATTTAAGTGTATAAGATAGATAACCATATTACTGAGTTTTGTTGGATCATTAAACAAAACTGTATGCAGTATCACTACTTGAAAGTCCACTTTATATGCTTTAATTTTGTAACTTGAACAACTATTTCTAAGATAACAATATGTAATCTATTAACTAGTGATTTCCTACTGTTTATTCTTTCTGAAATTCTGTATAATGTATCCTTTTTCTGTTTTTTTTTCTTTTTCTCATTAAATTAAAAAAAAGAAATGGTAAGAATACATAAAAGTATGTAATCATGATTCCCCATTATATTGCTTTGAAGCCTTATAATGTTTTCATTCATTAATTGGAATGGTTTTATTCTGGGTTGTTTGATTTTATTGTCTGGGATGGTATGAACAACTATTTTGAAGAAAACAAGACCTTATAATAGCTAATGATTATTTAATATCATCTTGTTTTGAAGTCTCACCAAGCTTTTGTTTGTCTGTCTCCATTGGTTTTATCATGTTGTATCTTATTAGATTTTATTATATGTGATGTTACAAGCAAAATTTTTATAGACAAGGAGATAGTATAGAAACCATTGTTTGTTTTCTGTTAGTTGGCTCTAAATACCCTGTAATACTTTCATTCTCTTGAATGGTTTTACACTGTCTTTTTATGTTTGATACTATAGTATATGAAGGTATACACAAATATTTCAAGGAAAGAGACACTATGGTAGCTACTGTTATGTCAGATTGTCTTGTGGTGAAACACTGTGTTGCTTAAATGGTTCTATTCTGACCTGTGTTGTTATGTCCTCTTTTATCTTAATCTTCTTTAAAAAAAAAAAAAAACCTACATAAAAAGCATGCATTTCTATAAACATACAACCTACTAAGACTGATTCAAGAGAAAACATTTCAAAACTCATTATACAAGGCCCTGATACCAAACCAGACAAAGAGAACACAAGAAAACAAAACTACACACCAGTATACCTGATGAGCATATTTGCAATAATTTTCAAACATTTATAATAAACTGAATTCAACAAGACATTTAACGGATCATACACTATGATCAAGTGGGATTTATCCCTTGAATACAAGGATGATTTAATTTATCTCAATGAATAAATGTGATATATCACATTAACAGAATGGACACAAATCATTATCTAAACAGATGCAGAAAAAACATTTAACAAAATCTAATACCCCTTTATGATGAAAAATATTTCACAAATTAGTGATAGAAGAAATATATATTTTATAATAAAGGACATATATGAGAAGCACACAGCTAGTATTATATCACTGGTAAGATTTGAAGTTTGCTCTATATCAAAAATAAGAGAAAGATACCCTCTCTTGTCACTTTTATTCAATATGGTACTGAAAATACCAGACAGAGCAATTAGATAAGAAAAAGAACTTATGGCCTCCAAATTGGAAATAATAACAACAACAAAAAACTGTCTCTGATTACAGATAATAAAATCAAATATATCAAAAACAGTGAAGACTTCAGAAAAAGACTAATAAATGAATTCAACAGATATATGTGGTACAAAATCAAGGTACAAAAATAAATCGTATTTCTCTGGACTAACAATGAATTATCCAAAAAGGAATTAAGAGAGCAATTTCCTTTGGGATAGCATGAAAATCAAAAATACCTCCAAAATTTTGGGAATAAATTTAACTAAAGGGGTGAAAGATTTTTACCTTGAAACTGTAAAGTATGGATGAAAAATTAAAGCAGACACACATAAATGAAGAGATATTCTGTGTTCACACACTAGAATAATTAATCTTTTAAAAAGGCTCATCCTACCCAAAGCAATCTATGCAGTCAACACTGTATCCTGGAGATTCCCTTTTTATTTCTCCTATTTTCCATATTCCATGTGTCTTTATCTTGGTCTACTCCTTTTCTATAAAGCTTATTCCATACATAATGTATGTTTAATTCCATAGGTTTTCCAGGAAATAGTATGTAAGAAGTACATTTTCCTTGAGACTTTGAAATATATGAAAACGTATCTATTTTACTTTCATACTCAGTAAATAATTTGGTTGGGAATAATTATCTTAATTTGAATATAATTTTCTTTTAAAAAGATTTGAAGATATTATCCACATCAGCTAATCTCTAGCACTGCTTTAGAGAAATCTAAAATTATTCTGACTTCCGATCCTTCACTGATGACCAGTTTGATTCCATGATGGTGTAGGTATATTTTTATCACTGTACAAAGTATTTGGTACCTGTGAACACTGTCAATCTGAAAACCAATTCTTCTGGAACTCAATTCAAAGAAGCACTTCCTACACTGCTACTTCAGTTTTATTTTCTTCTCTCCAGCCTCTTTCTTTTTTGAATGTATTCTTACATTCCAAATTTTATTTTCCAGTTCTATCTGAGGTTTTTCATGTCACCTTAAATTTATAAACATTGGGTTTTTTGGTCATTTTTCTAGTATGATACTCATTCTTCATCAAAGTCTATATCCTTCAAGTTGACTGTGTGTATGTGTTTTAATATCTATACTATCATTTGCTAAATAATGATGCTCTGATCAGTGATAGGCTGCATGTAGGATAGCTTGCTTGCTTGGCTTGCTTGCTTATTTATTTATTTATTTTTGGTACCAGGGATTGAACTCATGACTCGCATTTGCCAGGATGTGCTTGTGTCACTGAGCTAAATCCCCAGACCATATACGATAGCTTATACCATATAGCATAGATGTGCAATAGGCTAGACTATCTAGGTTTATATTTAAGAATAAGTCCTACTTGTTTGCTGAATGATAAGATTGCCTAATGATGCATTTTTTTGGAATACATTCCTTTTGTTAATGACACATACTCATATTTCACATGAGACACTTATCTTAAAATCTGGCCATTCATGATTGTCTAAAAGCTGACTGCAAGCCTTGAGCAAATGGTACTTAAACACTGGACTTCTCTGGCCATCTGGCTAGATCATGTTCTTGAAGAATTCCTGCTGTCAGATTATTAAGGTCTCTTCCTAAAATAGTGAGGTTTCCCAAAGAAGAATCTGCTAATCTTCTGTTTGAGTGATAAATGCCTAGGAACCAAATAGATGAAGAAGACTGGAATGTGGTCAGCATTCTGTACCTGACATTCAGTTTACTCTGTTTTCAGCTGTGCATGTTGTGTTCCAAAGACCATTTTCTTTCTTTTGAAATCTTGTCTATGAGGCTGGGGATTTAGCTCAGTGGCATAAGCACCTGCCTTGCAAGTGTGTGGTCATGAGTTTGATCCCTGATACTGACAAAAAAAAAAAAAGACCAAAACAAAAACAAAAACAAAAACCCCCCAAAAAACAAATAAAATCTTGTCTAGAATATAAAACCTTCAAGTAGTCCACTGGGATGATGAAGGAAAGCCACTTGGCTTCAGTGAACAGGTAAAGTGAATTGAGGATCTGAGTCCTTGATACTAATCTTGTCTTTAGACTCACACTCAACTCCACTTAAGAATATTGATTATAATCATATAGTTAGGGGGTTTCAGAGTGTATATGAGGTTACTTTTTAGCATCCCACACTATTAAAGGATGGAGCTTTTCCAAGTATGCAGTCAGTTATCATTAGCTCATCTTTTCGGTTTCCAAAATTTTGCAATGCCTCCTGTCCAATTTCTTTGACCTTACATGTTTATGTTTCAAGAAAGTTTTTTCCCTACTTTCATTTTAGTGATTTTCCAGTAGAAATCTAAAGGAAGGATGTAAATTTAATCAACTATTTTTCCTCTTAACCTATGTATACTCATAGGTAAAATGATGCTTGTTTGTTCTCTGAAAATTTGTTTCCCTTCTATCTTATTATCTTGCCCTAGTACCTAACATTTACCTCCTTCACTTACCTAACTAAACATAATATGGAAAGGCAAAATTAAAACATATTCAAGTTTATTGTTTAATGTTTTTTGGATTATCTAAAATAAAATTAGTTTAATATTTATAATTCTTTTAATCCCTCATCCAAAACTGTAACTTAAAAAGGTATACTTCAGTGCTATGTGATATATAGCATATGAAATTTTGTAGTTGATAAAGTAGTTAAAGCTTCACATTTTATTCCTAAAAACCTAACTGTAAGAGCCATTTTATAGACAAAATGTTTCACAATCAAATTATATTTCACTTTAAGTAATATAGAAACTTCTTGTGTTTATCTTGACCAGACTGAGACCTAAAGTAGAAAGAAAAGACTTGGGAAGATGTACTTACAGTTCCAGAATTGTCACTGCTTTGCTTATGCTTCACAGTTATTTACATACTAGAAATCATTTGTAAAGCTTGATACCATCTAAGACTGCTGATCTTTATGGGTATGATCTGATGATGCATCCTTTGGCTCATCTCACAAGGACTCTGAGGTCCAGAGAGGTTAACTGACTTATGGAAAGTTATATTCTACAAAAACGGTCAAATGCAGCCAGAAACCAACTCTTAAATCAGACTCTACAAACCATTTGACATATCCTACTATAATAGGAAAACAACAACAAAGCTGAGGAGTCAGAAAGAGGAATTTCTTTCTGCCTGTGTCTCTGATCAGTGTTTATTCTCACTCAAATTACTTATAATGTAAAAGTCCATTTTCTAATTTATGCAGTAATTCTTATATAAAATAGGAAAGCTATCTTAATTATAAGTATGATATATAAACATGACATAACAGAATATTTAAGAAACATTTTTAAAGAATGAAAGAAGAAAAATATTGCTTACTTTTTTCCTGTAATGCCTGCAATTTATTTAGTTCTTCATTCTCTTCATCACTGTCTTCACTGCTTGTACTGCTGACATCCAAAACTATATCCCTTTTGGGGTCTACTCGGAGAAAATTGCGGCATTCAAAAGTCAGATGACCAGCTAAGTAAAACAAAGAGACAGAGAAGAATGACAAAGCTATTGATACAGTGTGTACTTTTTGCTTTGTTGTTTCATGGAAAGCAACAAATATATTTTCAATAATACAAAAAACTTTTAACTTTTATTCAGTTGGTGGTACTTTGGTTAATTTCCCTGATACAAGAACACATTTTCTTTCTTCTTTAGAACTTCTAATTCAATAGGCATTTTGGGCAGAATTTCTTACAGGTTTTAAAGTATTGAACTATTATACCTTTCCTTTCTAAAAATACAGTTAATATCTAAAAGTGAACAAGCCAAGTACAAAAAAATTTATACTTTAGATTTTATTTTATTCCCTTCTCATATCTTTTTCTTCTCAGACTGACTACTGTACTCATGCAGTTACACAGTTTTCATCTCATTAAAACTGCTATAGTAACTGATATGCTTTCCTAAAGGACACGTAGAATTTTAATTTGTCATTATTTTCTTAGAGTGTCCCTGTAAGAAAACTACAGTAGTTGCCTACTTATTGCACATAACTTTTTAAAATGAAAATCTATTATTACAAACATGAGTATAAGAAATAATATAATCCAGTACCTATATATCTATATCATCCAGATGTTAACATTCTGTCACATTCGTTTTAATTATTTTAAAGAAAATGCACACATGTAGGCTCATATGCATAACCACAAAGTTGTAGAGCTTACACTACCTTTGGAAACTGCCTCAATTCCATTTGTTTTTTTATTTTCTAAAGTCAGTATACTGACATTGGTGTCTAATATTCACACATAAAATGTTGCATTATGCATTTTTTAAAAATAGTAAGTGTAATTATACCTATTTATCATTCTGTAATTTGTTTCTGCCATTCTGTATTTATCTATGTTGACACATAAGTAGATATAGTTTTTCATTTTACCTAACAAATACTGTTCTACTGTACAAAAACATATTCATTTATTTAACCTACTATTAATAGACTCTTAGGACTTAGGGTTTATACATCAGATTTTCTTTAAGATGTGAGCTTTTAAATTTTCTGGACCATGACTGATCTAGTTGAAGGGAGTGGGTCATGGAGCCTCTTCTTCTTGAGTTCTCTCCCTCTCTGCTTCCTGACTGCCATGAGGTAAGCAACTCTTCTCCACCATGTACAGGTGCAAAACAATATGACCAGCTGACCAAGGACTCAAACCTCTGAAACCGTGAGCTAAAATAAATCCTTCCTCCTTTAAAGTAATTTTGCCAGCTATTTGATCACAATAATAGAAAACTAATACACCAGTTTTAAAATGAGCAAAAATACAAATGGCCAATAAGTACATGCAACATTATTAGGGAATAAGTCCACATATAAGGTATAAGTCAACATTATTAGAGAAATGCAGATCAAATGAAATATATGTGGGATATATTTTTACATCTGTTAAGGTGATCTGAAGCTTTCTTACTGTATCTGATATCAAATTTGTGAGCTTTTTTCCCACGCCAACAACCAGTATCTGGGAATTCCCAGTATCTGGGAATCCTACAATTGTATTCATTTCTGATACCCCCTGGAGTTGACATGGACCCCATCAGTTAAAGGCTCTATTCCATAGACTTACCCTACTTCAGCTGCCATTCACACTTGCCTGGCCAGCTATAGTCAAGGTGTTCCCACAATCCCCTTCTCAGATTTGATAACTTGCTAAAATAGCTCACAAAAGTTGAGGAAAATAGCTTACTATTAACAGTGACTGAAATCAAATCAGACTGAGATAAAGACCATTTATTCCAATTTGTAGAGATATAACAGAGGATGAAAATATAACTACATTTTTCCATAGCAGACAAATTTGAAATTGTTTAATAATTTCACTAAAATAAGATCTGAATAATAATGCAGAGAGAACTAAACTTAGAACGGAGGTCGAAACTATTTACTGACTTGCTTCTCAAATTCTTATTATTGTAAATGCTTCCACTGTTATCTAAAATAAAAGATAGATACTAGAAAATGAGTTTAATTGCTTTTCCAGAACTCTTAGATTAAAAGAATTCCAACTAGATAAAGTGAAGTTAGTAGACAGGGACATCCACTCTAGTTTTTGAGGGACTTTTTTTTTTAATCTATAGGCGACCAGTTGCTAGTTTTGAATAAAAAATTGAGATATGTGTCTCAAACAAAGCAAACAAATTCAAAAACATAACACATTTGGTTTTACTCATGTCTTGCACACATGTCTATTTTTTAGTTTTCACCTCTGTGAGGGATATACACATTTATAACCCACTGTTGCTATTTAGACAAGCTTCCCTAGAGCCAGGTTTGAGCTTTGCTTGGCTGCATGTAGTCTGTTTCCTTGGCTTGCTTCTACTTTGTCTTTCTGATGGAAATATACACAAGTGCTCCTTTATCCTGTATTCTCACATAGAAATCCTGTTAAATCTTTGATGAATTGGAGTTCTAGTAAAAATACAAGTCTCTAAAGAATTAAAAAAAAAGCAGCAAATGCTACTGCAACAGCTATTGGTAAAGTTTTAAGAACTATTACATTTAACTGGAGAAATGATACTGGTTTACAGCATAAAATTACAAATACATACACAGCATTTCATATAATTACACAGGCTTAAGTTTACTCTTTCATCCTACTATGTTAATTATAATTAAGATTAATGGCTGCTTTTTGTCCATGAACAGAAAGTCTGGGATCAAACAAACTTTGTCATGGTGTAGAGTAGCTAGATGTCCCTCTGCAAAGCCTCATGTGCTGATAAGTGGGCCTTTGGGTAGGTGACTGGACCACTAGGGCATCAGTGGACCTGTCCACTGAGTTTATAGTTAAAAAGCCTGGCTGGAGGAGGTGGATCACTGAGTGACATGGCATGGCCAGGAGTCGTCTATCTCCTTTCCACCTCCTTTGATCTCTGTCTCTGCTTCCTGACACCTTATGAGAAGCAACACCCTATTGCCATGCCATTCAGCCTTACAGCCAGCTCTATAAACTGTGAGCCAAAATAAACTTCCTCCTTAGGGCTTTGGATATCAGGTATTGTGTCCTATTAACAAAGTCACTAAGACAAGCTCTTATACAAAGGGATAAATAAATTCAAGAAACATAAAAAAAAAAAAAAAACCTTCAAAAATAGTTTTGAATGCCTTGACCTCTTTATCTAGTATTCAGGAAAACAAGGAATAAAATACACATACACACACTCCACACACAGTTAAATATAATTTTTCCAAACTCTCTCTACTACTATTTCTACTTTATAATGTCTTTGCTAGTCATCAGATACATAGCTGCCAATGGATTTACCTAAAAGGAGAAAAATGATATTTAATGTAATAAGAATTTCTGAATCAGCTCATGCTATAGTTTAGGCCTAAATGACTACACATAGGGCCTCTGAAAATAGGACTATAAGGCACATTCTCAAAAGGCAATGTTTCTGGTAAGAATATGTACAGAATGTTTTTGTGTACTTACGGTAGCCACATTTTTTACAGCCTGCCCTGACACTATCCTTGTTGCAACCTGAAATACAATTGGATAACATTTTAGGAAATAGATATTTGTAAAAAGATAACTTCATTATATGCAAAAGCTAAAAAAATTTTTTTCCAATTTTTTATTTTATTGGTGCATTTTAGATAAATGACAATCACATTCATCATAGAGAATCTGTACCTCGCTTCTTTTTTCCCATTCCCCTTCCCTCCTTTCCCTTCGACCTCTTTCCCTCCTCATTTACTAAAAAGCTTTATTTCCATTTTTCTCCTGTACTTTTTTCTCGTCCCTTTTTCCTTTCCCCTTCCTTTGTTTCCTTTCCCTTTTGAACATTTAAGAAAATTTCTTTTAAAGAAAAAACAGAAATTATCTACAACTCACTTAAGTAATGTTAATCAATTATTTTGACTGAAAAATTAACTTACTGAAAGCTAATTTACTCAAATTATTTGACACTTCAAGAATTTTTTTTGTAATTCATAGAAATGAGCTATTATAGTAAAAAACATAAATATTTCAAGAATTCTACAACACTGAGGAAGAAATTTTAGGGTACTTTGCCCCTCTAATGTATAATAATTATACATACATACGTAATAATTCCATACACATGTGTAATAATTATACATATACATATATGTAACATATATATAAAACATATACATATATATGTAAAAGTTAAATGTTTTTCTGCCTTCCATTAGAAGAAAAACAATTTCAACCTTCTTAAAGGAACTGATGAAATTTCAGAGGGCTCACTGTAATTGCTACATACTCTAAGAAACACCCAAATTCAACACTTGAATTTTGACAAGAAAACAAATTTTGTCAGTCTAATAAGCATTTACAAAAATTTACAGTACCCTGGTGTACTCAGCAGTATGCAGATGATTAGGAAGATAAAAATAATAGAGACAAAATAAAACTGATTTTTGTATTTTACATAACTTTATCATTTTGTCATTTTTAAACATATAATTTACTAGCACTAAGTACTTCATAATGTCATACCATTATCCATTTCTAAGAGATTTTCATCATTTCAAACAACTATACCCATTAAATAAATGCATGTTCCCTCACTTGGTAATCTTTAGTCTACTTTCTGTCTGTAAGGATTTGCCACAGATATGGAGAAATCCTATGTTTGTCCTCTTGAGCATGGCTTATTTCCCTAAGTAGAAAAATTTCAAGTATCAACTATAGTATAGCATGTATCAAAATTGCATTAAATGATATTCCATTGTATGCATACACAGGTAAAACTTTATAGTGGTTTCAATCAACCAGTGAGAGCCTCAGTACAATATTCCATTTTCTTAATGAAGGACATCTAACTCCGAAACCTTTCAAATGAAAACATCACCTGTCATATATTAAGATATCACCTGTAGTACTACATGTAGTACAAATACGAAATGCTAATTTTAAATAAAAAATAATTTAAAGCCAATTTTTAGTAAGTTAAAATATTATTTTTCCCTAATCCTAAATTCTCTCTTAAATATAGTTTTGAGTTGTTCTAGTAAAAGCAGTTCTCCTATAATGCTTGTTTTAAAAATGCAAATATTATTTTAATGCAACTGATAACATTACAGAATAATGGAGCATGTAACTTTCATACAGGTAAACAGTGGGTGAATGCAAAAATTTGATCTAGCTGATGTAAGTTCTAAAAATATACAAAACATATAGGCACATATCCAAGACCACATCTGGTGTTACAACTTTTCATGGTTCATATCAACATTCCCCTCATACCCCTTCATAACAACTCATAAACTACAGTACTTTTGAATCTACTTCTAGACACACTTCAGGTCTTTTTAAAGGTCGAGTGCCATATTTACTATAGTATCTGTGTTTTTTAACCAATTAATGTGTAAAAGTGGGCTATTGTTTTTAATTAGGTTTTTTCTTTCCCCTCTTTTTTCATATCAACAATCAATCTCATAACTTCATGCTTGCCAGGCAGGCGCTGTGTCACTGAACTATATCCCCAGACCAAGTTCTTATTTATTAAATACATCAAAAATGAATTTGCTGAGTACTGTTTCCTCCACAAATTCTGTGATTTTTATGGCTAGTGTAAGAATGTATATACCACTGTGGAATCAGATTGAATTAGTATAATCTGAGGCTCTTCCATTATGAAAATCGCCATATGTTTGAAGAAAAAAAGCTCAGAGACTCTGGGTTAATGTTGTCTGTTTCTATAGAAACTATACAAGCTGAACAAAATGCTAAATGCACAAGTACCATTCCTCTAATAGACTAAAAATGTAATGAACAAATGTAAAATAGTCTCATCTCAACATGTATTACAATTGAACTCATTAATGACAAAATGCTGATAAAACTCAACACTCAAGTGTTTATTCTCCATCAGGGTTTTTGTTTTTGTTTTTTTGGTGCCGGGGATTGAACTCATGACCTCGCGTTTGCCAAGCAGGCACTTAAGCCACCGAGCTAAACCCTCAGACCCTGGCCCCCTCAAGTGTTTAAAGTTTTTAGAATGAACAAAACATGAAATGTTTCTAGGCAGGTCATCTTCTTTAACAAAGGTGAGACTTTTACATGAAAAGGAAATAAAAATTAAAGAGTTTCATACACAATAACTATCAGCCAGATTTGAGTGAAATTAAGATTTCAGCTTCATTTGTCTTTAATTTTCATGACTGTGTGGTCAACTGAATGCTTCTATCTGTGACTCAGAATCCAAGCAAACAACTCTATAGATCTGAGACAAGTAACATAATGAAATGCATTTTGCTTCTGGGATTCAGTTTCTAATGGCACTGATGTCACTTATAGCAGTAGTTCTGACCAAGTCTAGGCTCCTGCAGTATCTTGGATTAGTTCCCTTGATTTGTTTCTATTTTATGAACATTCTTGTAATCCTTTCTTAGATTCAGTTAACTTCCTATATCATCTCTTCCTGTTTAAATTAACTAGTATTTTTCTGTTGTTTGGGACAAGAACACTGACTAATACAAGTATACTTGTAATCTATGTCAAACTGGATAGGAAGGCTATACTATGAGGTCCCTAATTTGCTAAATTATTCATTTCCCCAATTTAGGTTCCTCTATGGTTTGCTATGACTGATGTCTAGATGACCACAAAAGCCTCATGTGCACATAGGTGAGGCTTTTTCAGAGTGGTTGGATCTATAGTGTGTGATTACTAATTCATTCCACTGACTAGTTTGGCACCTGCCCAAAGCTGGGTAGCCTAGACAGAATATAAAAGGGGTAGAAAGAAGGTTACTCGGACTTAATCTTCACTACTTTGTTGTTTTGCTATCCCTACCTACTATAAACTGTTTCTCCTCTCTGATGCCTGTCTGCCATGCTGCCCTGCCTTGGAACCAGTCACTTATGGACTGAAACTTCTATAAACTATGAATCAAAATAAACCTTTCCTTCTTTAACTATAGCTGTCGGGTTTTCTATCCCATAACAATAAATTAAGACATGGTTCTTTCTTTTGTTCATTTCTAAAGTTTGGTAAAGTTGTTCAGAGTAAAATGTGTATGCCACTGAAAATGTTTCTTTCTAATCGTTAACTGCGGCTTAAACACTATTAAAGAAAAATATTAAGTTTGACAAGGAAAAAAAAAGTTCAAATGGCAAATCTACCAAAAGAAAACTCAAAAGGCACTTGAATGCTTATGAAAAAATATTTACAATTTACAGATCAACAAAACACAATTATTTCCACTAGGTAAAACCCAGGAAATCACTAAGATCAATTATCAGTGGGAGAAAAAATGGGCCAAGGATCTGAATAGAAAGTTCATAGATAAGCAAATAGAAATGATAGAAACATATGGAAAGATGCTCAGTTTTATTTATAGTAACTGAAATACACATTAAAAACTATGCTGGGATTCCATATTCACTTATCAGAGTAGCAAAGATTAAAAAGGTTGAAGACAATGCTGGGAGGCATACTCTTCCGACATTGCTGGTAGGAACGTAAATTAGTATAGTACCATACCTGAAAGGCAAACTGACAATCTATCAAAACTAAATGTACACACTGCTTTATTCCAGCAGCTCCACATCTGGAAATTAATCCTTCCAATTTACTTGCATAAATGTATACTAACTTATGTACAAAGCTACTTATGACAGCACTGCTTATAATCATAAAATAGTGTAATTTAACTATCAGTACAGCATTGACAAAATAAATTATGGTACAAAAGTATGAGGACAGGTTTTTTTTGTGATGATATCTAAGATATATGACAAAAAGGAAAAACAAGTTGTACAACAGTACTTAGGGTTTACTGTCATTTGTATAAATTTATTTTAATTTCAATTACCCTCTTCTATTTCTTACTTCTAAGGTAATATCATATGTACTCTGGCACATATATATGTATCAGAACTCATCAAACTCTCTCCATTTTTTGTGTACTTTTTAAACACATGTAAAGTATAGATGGACTATAAAAAGTAATGGTAGGGCAAAAGAGGCAAACAGAAGGATCAGAGAAATCAAAAAGGAATAAAATAAAAGTGATACCAAGGAGACCCCTTGACAATTGTCTCAGGCTGTAATTTTCCCTGTAGGAATACCATCACATTTGACCAAAATTCAGTTCTTTGGAATTTTACACCATTTATGCTTTCAAAGTCAATAATTTGATCACTGGGAACATTAATGGGGATGCTAAGAACTTAGTATTATGTTTTAATTATGGTCTACTTTGAATTTTAGCAATAATTGTCAAAGTTTTCTCTAGATTAAAATATTTTATATAATCATTTAAATTTAAAAGTAAGCAGCATAAGTAACCAATTTTTTCTGTATTAATTAGAAATTGCAGTCATCTTGGTCACAAGATACATGCTTTTCACTTTTGATCAGATTCAATTGGGATAGACTAGATTTCTTTTGTTTCATAACAAGTTTTAGATGTGGTTATTCCATTATGGTTTTACTTAACTTCATTTGGAGATTCTTAAACAGAACATCAATTTCTTAAGTTTTTAAACCTTGAACTGTGGCCAGATCTTATACTACACAGGTGCTAATGTCTGGATAACATGTATATAACCTATTGATGTTGAATACAAAGTAAAATTCCAAGTATTTGAAATTTCCTACAAGTTTATATTAATAATTTATTGGTATACACCTTTCTTTGGAATCCTAAATATTATACAAAGGTAAATAGAAGGAACAGAAGAAATCATTTTTTTGTATGTATTTAAAAAATAGGTTAAATTCCACGATGCAAATGTTTTGAAAAAGTAGATGTTTTAACACTTAGTTACAAATGTCTTCATAATCATTTTACACCCAAAAGTGAGATAAAAGTAAAACCATCAAAGAACTGTTTAAACTACTGCTATGAAAGAGCTAACAGTTAAGTAAACGTGTAAGACTTTGTCTTCTGTTTGCCTCACAAAACTGTGAAGGAAAAAAACTACCATAAGTATTATCTGTTTAAAATAAGAAAAAGGTTTAACTTGTAATTTAATGAACAGGTAAGTCTGTTTACTTTAATATTACATTTTTCTCAGCAGCAATTCTAGTATAACTCTACACTGGATTTTAGAGAAGCCATAAAAATGATTAAAGTCAAATACTTCAGTAAAGGAAGCTATGCTATGTTAGATTATTTAGAACATTGAACTCAAAGTGGTCAACACATGAAATAATGTGCCTCATGCTATAAAAGACACATAATTCTGTTAATAAGCATGAAAAGCTGCCAGGAAAGACTTTCAGCTAAAATCCAGACATGGCAGAAGATGCTTGTAATCCTAGCACTGGGGAGGTTGAGGCAGAAAGATTGCCATGAGTTAGAGGCCAGCATGGGCTGCAGAGTGAGACCCTGTCTCAGAAAACCAGAATCAAAACAAAACAAAATAACCACTTACAGCTAAAAGATTGGGAGAGATACATATGGATAATGAAGGAAGAACAATATTAATATAGGCACATAGGCAGGAAAATACATGAGAGGTCAGAGAATTGTTGGTTAATTCACACTTTTGCATACAAGGATGCACCAGAAGAAACAAATAGAATAAGTGATTCGGTCATGCTCAAGAGGGGAGTATGTGTTTTACTCCTGCAGAGATAGTTTTGGCTTTAAAACAACTAGCAACTTAAAAAATCAACCTCTTCATCATGGACACAAGAAAACTGAATCTCAGAAAGGTTAAGTGGCTTGAAGAGAATTACAGAATTTACAGAAATGAATTTAAAACTAACTTCCTGTCTCTCAAGAATGACAGGATCAGACAGATGATTTAGGAAAATAATTTCCGCAGCAGTGGGTAGCACAAACTAGAGAAAAAAGAAATAACTGAAAAGCAAAGGGATGTAGTATAACTTAGAATTCTTCTATTACTGCAATGGTAATGTATGTACAAATATAAGTCACTTCTATATGCCAAAGAAATGATGTGACAAGTCCTTAACTGTATAGAAGATACACTGCTACTTGTGCCAGACCAACTCTTCATAAAGAATAGAGGATTACTGACATGATTTCAATAAATGAGCTAATTATAACAACTGTGAATGGAAAAGCAATTTTCCAAGGAAAGCAAACCTCATTGAAAACTGTGTTCAAATGTCAGTCTCTGATATTAACTAAGGATCTAAGAGTTTTCTAAAATTCTACAAAATTTCATTGTGTTACCTATATAATGATTTAAGCCAACACACAATGCTGTGGGAAAAAGCTAAGACGTGATCATAAAAGAGGCAAGGCTGGGTTTTATGTGAGGTTTGTGGAAAGCACCTTATTACTTGAGAGTCATACCTTGTAATAATCACTAGCAGAACTACCTCAGGAAACGCCAGGCTGAATCCATTATACCTAAAATAAGAGAGCATAACATAATGCTTGTTTGCCTTGATGATCACCTCAAAGACTTCAATGGTGCCTATTTTCCTTTAATACACTGTCTGGATCGATCATCTGAGAAATTATCTTAACATTTTCCTTATCTATATTTCTAACTGCGCTTACATTGTACTTTTTTTTTTTTTGTGGAGCCATCACATCTATTATCTCTACTTTCAATAGATTTGAACAGTTTATTTGTATCCTGTCATCTACTTAATGGCACAATTTAAGATTATTATACTTTAAGGAATTATTTTGAATTGAAAAAGGTTAATATATCTATAACACTGGTCTAAGTGTAAGGGAATTTCAAACAGGACATTTAACAACCACCTTTGTCCTGTCAAGCAGCACATTTTCTTTATTACCCTACAAAATTTTATGAGGGAATAGTTTGTGTCCTTCAGAATGCCTATACCACATAGGTCCTCAGGTGACCATGGTGGCACATATCAATAACCTCGGTATTTTGGGAGGTAGAGGGAGTAAGATCCCAAGTTCCAATCGTGCTAGGGAACCTTAGTGGGATCCTGTCTTAAAATAAAAAAAGCAGCTGGGGATACAGCTTAGTGTGAATTTCTATGCTTGCTTTAGCAGCACATGTAATAAAATTGGAATGATACAGAGAAGATTGCCATGACTCCTGCACAAGGTTGACATGCAAAATCGTGAAGTGTTCCATATTTTTAAAAATAACAAGGAATCAGGAAATAACAATTCAATACCCCCAAGATGATACAAAGAAAAACAATGTAAGATTGATAGGTGTAAACAAAAGGTCACAACACAAATGATACAAAAAGACTATTTAAAGAAATAATTGTCAAAAATTACCCAAACATGGGAAAGGAAACTGACATACATATAAATGAAGCATATAGAACTCCAATCAGCCACAATGCAAATAAATCTACACCTAGACATATAGTAATCAACATTCCAGAAATTCAACAAAGAACAGAACATTAAAAGCTGTTAGAGAAAAGAGACAGATTACCTATAAAGGAAAGCCTATTAGAATCACAGCAGACTTCTCAACATAAACAATGAAGTCAAGAAGAGCATGGAGTGAAGTGTTTCAAATACTAAAGGATAATGACTTCCAACCCAGATTAATACGCCCTGCAAAACTGTCCTTCAAAATTGATGGAGAAATATGATACTTCCACAACAAGTAAGAGCTGAAGAACTTCACAATTACCAAACCAACAGTGCAAAGAATAATAAAAGATATTCTAGATAGACATAAAAATAACCACAACTCCAAGCACACCAACAGAAAAAAACCACTAAGCAAGGCAAACAATTAAAAAGAGGGGAAATGTAAAGAACCAACAGCAGAAAAATAACATGACAAAAATGAGTCAGTATGTATCAGTTATAATCATTAATGTAAATGGCTGTGATTCACCAATTAAAAGAAATAGACTGGAAAAATGGATCAAGAAACAACATCCAACCATATGCTATATACAAGAAACCCCTCTAGCCCAAAAGAAAATTCATAGATTGAAAGCCAAAGGATGGAAAACAATACTTCAGGCAAGAGGACCCCTAACCCCCAAAAAAGCTGAGGTAGTTATTCTGATCGTAGACAATGTAAACTTCAAGGATGACCACAAGAGATACAGAAGAATATACTAGTTAGGGGGAAAATTTCAAGAGGAAGAGATAGCAATCCTAAATATATAAGCACCAAATATGGGAGCACCCAGCTATGTAAAACAAATATTAATAGAAATGAAAAATCAAATAAGTAATAACATAATTATAACATGAGACCTTAACACCCCATTGACACCAAAAGGCAGATCAACCAGACAGAAAATCAGCAAAGAAATATCACAACTTAATCAAACATGTGAACAAATAGACTTAGCAGACGTGTACAGTGTTGCACCCAACAACATCAGAAAAACATTCTTTTCAGTTTCAGCTTCACATGGGACCCTATGTTAGCCCATAGAATATGCTTAAGTAACTGCAAAAGAATTGAAATTATCCCATGCATATTATCTGATCATAGTGCCATAAAACTAGAAATTAATGACCAAAAAACTTCAAAAATTTCATTAAAAACATGGAAATGAAATAACACACTCCTGAACAATCAATGGGTCACAGAGGAAATTAAAGAATGAAAGCAAATGAAAATACAAGTACAACTCCTGGAACCTGTGGGATGCCATGAAAGCAATCCTCAGAGGGACATTCACTGCAGTGAATTCCCACATCAAGAAAACAGAAAGAACACAAACAACCTGATGTTACACCTCTCACATCTATATTAAGAAAAACATGGCAAAGAAAGGAGGAAATTACAAAGATCAAAGCAGAAGCCAATGCAATAGAGACTAAGAAAACAATACAAAGAATTAACGAAACAAAGAGTTGGTTCTTTAAAAAAATTGATAAGCCTCTAGCCAACTTTATTTAAAAATAGGAAAAAATCCTCAAATCCATGCAATAAGGAATGAAAAGGGTAAAACCACTACAGACCCTGTGGAAATATAGGAGATCATCAATACCTACTACAAAAATCTTTACTTTCATAGGTTTGATAACACAGAAGAAATGGACAGATTTCTAAACATATATGAATTACCAAAGCTGGATCAAGAAGATATAAAACTGCTGAATAACCCAATTTCAATAAATGAAATTGAAAATATAATTAGAACCTTACCAACAAAGAAAAGCTCAGATCCTGATGGATTCACTACAAAATTCTACAAGAAATTCAGGCAAGACTTCCAACACTCCTCAAACTCTTCAAAGAAACTGAAAGGGAAGCAACTCTCCCTAACTCATTTTCAGAAGCAAGTATTATCCTAACACCAAAGCCAGAGATAGACCCAACCAAAAAAGAGAACTATAGGCCAATCTCCTTAATGAACATCGATGCAAAAAAATCCTCATAAAATATTGGCAAATAGAATGCATCAAATCATCAAATAGATTATATACCATGACCAAGTGGGATTCATCCTAGGAACACAGGAATGGTTCAACATATGCAAATCAACAAATGTAATACACCATATCAAGAGCCAAAGATATGAATCACATGATCATTTCAACAGATACAGAAAAAGCTTCTGATAAAGTCCAACACTCATTTATGATAAGACCCTTATGGAAAACTGGAATAAATGGGCTTTATCTCAATCTGATAAAAGCCATCTAGGACAAACTAACAGCCAGCATCATATTAAATCCTTAAAAACTGAAGCTTTTACTCTAAAATCAGAAATAAGACAAGAATGTCCACTATCACCACTCCTATTCAGTATAGTGCTTGAAACATTAGCCACAGAAACTAGAGGAGAGAAAAGGACTAAGGAAAGAAGAAGTTATATTATCATTATTTGGAGGTGTCATCATATTCTATATAGAAGACCCTCAAAACTCCATTCAAAGACTTCTAGATGTAACAACCAAATTCAGTAACATAGCTGGATACAAAGTCGGCACTCAAAAATCAATAGCATTCCTCTACACAAACAACAAACTCACCAAGAAAGAAATAAGAGAAACTATACCCTTCACAGTAGCATTCAAAAAAATGAAATACTTAGGAATCAATCTAATAAAGGAAGTAAAAAAACTATTCAGTTAAAATTACAACACTTTGAAAAAAGAAATCAAAGAGGATCTCAGAAAATGGAAAGACATTCCATGTTCATGGGAGGGAAGAACAAACACTGTGGAAATGGCCATTCTCCTAAAATTGTTATGCAGACAATGTAATTCCAATCTAAATACTAGTAGCATACCTCACAGATCTAGCGAAATCATTCTTAAAGTTCATCTGGAATCAGAACAGATCTAGAATAGCAAAGGCAATTCTGGGCAAGAAAGGCAAGGCAGGAAGCATCACAATCCCTGACTTGAAGTTATACTACAAATCTTCTGTGATCAAATCAGCATGGTAGTGGCATAAAAACAGACCTGAAGATCAATGGAATAGATTAGAATATACAACCACAACTACAAACACACTCAGCCACCTTATCTTCAACAAAGGGGCCAACCATGGTTACTGGAAGAAAGAGTCTCTTTATTAAGTGGTACTGGAAAAACTGGCTCTCCATATGCTGAAAACTAAAACAGACCCATGCCTATCATTATGCACTAAACTAAATTCAAAATGGATTAAAGATCTAAATAGTAAAACAGAGTAAAAAATCTGTAGGTAAGAATCTTGGTGACATAGTAGTGGGCAGAGTTCACGAACAAAAATCAAACTACATGAGAAATACTTCCCAGAATCAACAACTGGGATCTCATCTTATTAAAAATTTTTGCATGTCAAAAGAAATTTCCAATAAAGTGAGAAAAAAACCCCACAAATTGAGAAAAAATTCTTAGTCAACTGCCCCTCAAAGGACTTTTATCTAGAAGATATAAAGAATTAAAAATCAGACCCCCAAATTCCAAGATGTAACCCAAAAATGGGCATCTAAGAGGAATACACACTTCTCACCTGAAGAAATACAAATGACAATGGAAGAATGTTCAGTCTCATTGGCCATTCAAGAAATGCAAATTAAAACCACACTGAGATTCCATCTTACGCCAGAAAGAATGGCCAAGATCAAGAAAACCACCAACAACAAATGCTGGAGAGGCTGTGGAAGAAAAGGAACTCTTCTGCACTTTTGGTGGAAGTGTAGACTGGTGTAACCACTGTGAAAATCAGACTGGAGGTTCCTCTGGGCATATTCCCAGAAGAATTAAAAACATCATTCTACAGTGATATATGTACACTGATGTTTATAGCAGCACAATTTGTAATAGCCAAATCTTGGAAACAACCTAATGCTCATCAACTGCAGAATAGATAAAAAAATATGGCATTTTTATATAATAGAGTACTACTCAGCTATAAAGAAGGATCACATTGAGGTTTTATAGGTTAATGGATGCAACCTGGGATCATATTCAATAGTGAAATGAATCGAAGTCACATGTGTAAATACTGTATTGTCTCTCTAGTGTAAGAAACTGAAAGAATAAGTAAGATACAAAATCTTCAATAAATACTGTGAAAGGGTAAGAAACTGCTCAAAAGAGAAAAAATAACTCAGGGAAAAGGAGAAAAGAAGGAAGGAAAAAAAATATAAATTTGTATATATATATTAAGATATCTAAGATGATGGTACTACTAATTCTATTAGTTCTTGGAACAAAACTGTTAATATTTATAGGATTAGATCAATTTTGCATGTTTATCTGGTAATCTGAGTAACTCTTTTGAAGATAACTATGCAAAATAACAACCTTAGTTATGTTTCTACCACCTTGTTTTGAAAGCCTATATTGTTATTGTTTTGGGCTCTTTGTTACTGTTATTTGTTTCTGTTGTTTTTGTTTTTCTTGTATTTTGCTTGGTTTTGTTTTGTTTTTTCCTCTAATACAGAAAGGGTAGGTGTACATGTATAGGCTTACACATGTCTAGAACTTCTAAAAGATTTACAAAAATGGATTTTATTATGTGTAATGGTATAAACTGCTACTTTTAAGAAAATGAGATATGGCAGCCACTGCTGACTTCCTATCATCTTGTTTTGAAATTGAATAAAGCTGCCATTCTTAGTTTTGATTGGTTTTAGTCTGTTTTCTATTATTTGATTTCAATATGTATGAAGGTATGAACAGCTATTTTGAAGAAAACAAGAGACATTATGGTAGCTATTATTGATTTTCCTGTTAACTGGCTTTGAAGGCCAATAATGCTTACATTTTTTTGTTTTGTTTTGATTAGTTTTGTACTGTTTCGTTTTGTTTGAACTCACTGTATGTGAAGATATGGACAACTATTTTGGCAAGAACAGGAGACACTGTGGTAGCATGTTGTCTTGAATTCCTATGTTCTTGCATTATTTCATTTTGCTTTGCTTTGTTTTGTTTTGTTCTCTTAAAAACAAAAGTCCTAATTTCAACCTCAGTATTGGAAAAAAATGTTTGCTCCAGTAATAAAATAATCAGTGACAATGAGTAAACTTTGAGTGACCCATGGCTTCAATATCCTGAGTCAAGGAACCACTGTATGGGTCAACTTTAGATGCAGGCTTACTGGCCTATCAGGGTGCCAAGGCAACCTCTGTTGGCTTGTCTTTCTTTGCTATTCACCAGGATTCAGCCACAGGTCTCCCTTCTCCATGCTCTCCACCTAAGCAAAACAATTCATTCCTACTGGCTTTAGTTCCTACTTATTGACATCTACAAGCTGAGGTTAAAATATACAGTGGATGTTTATTTTTAAAATTTTTACAGTTGAAGATATATTACCATTAGTCCTTTTCAAACTATTACCACTTCCTTTTAACACACTTATCCCACCATCCTCACCACTTTCTAAAACAGTTCTGGCAGTTCTGTTTTGTGTCTTTACGAGGTATGATAAAAAATATGGCAAACGATTCTGCCTAGTGCCATCCAACAGAAAGGCAGATGACTATTATGTTGAGTCTCCATCCACTTGATTCATTGGATCTGGGACTGTGTGACTTGTGGCTCTTCCCCAAAGTCAATAGGACCACAAAAAGTAAAGGTTTTCAATAGATTCAGGACTTCAAGGTGTCTACTATAGCACAGTTAGGGACAAGAAAGATGATTTCCAGAACTGCTTCAGAAAGCGGCATGCATCTTTTAGTATATCTTGTAAAAAATGTTTACATTTCCCATATTTTTTGATGATATTGCATAAAATGTTTTCAGCTCTAACATCTTTCCTAAACTGAGAAAGACTGCTTACTGTTAAATATTTCCACTCCCATTTTGACTAAACACAACACAAATTCCAAACTGAAGTCATCATTAACCCCCTACTCCTTATGAGGTAACTGTCTCACTCAATTTTCTAATGGTGAATTCCAGGAAAAATCTCATTTCCCCTTTTATCTTCTTCCTTTGAATCAACAGCCAATTCCTAGTGATTCTAATATCAAAATGTGTCTCCAACCCATCTACTTCTCTTCTTTCCTTATGAGACCAGAGCTTAGCCAAGCAACATCAAAACACTCCAGAATTACCCCTATCTGCTGACTGCCTCCAAACTAAAGATGAAATTTGATACAGTCTCTGAGACATATGACATATGGTAAACAGTAAAAATTAACTAGTTATTGTCTCCTTCTCACTTTTTTGCCAATTGTAGGACAAGTACCATCCACAGCAAACATCTTTCTTTTCTTCTTCCTTTACACATCCAGTCACTCTAACTTCAATCTCTTCCCTCCTGCACTCCATCCTTCATCACAGTAATTTAGGTCTTCTTTTAAATGCCACATCTTCTAGAAAGTCCTTCTGGCCCCTCCCTATATATTGTCATTATGTTTCCTAGGCCTTGTATTTTTCTTGCCATAGCTATTCTCACTTTCTGTCAAAGTTTTTTCTCTTCACTGTTAATTCATAAATTCCTTGTGAAGAACAATTGGCAACTACCTTGCTCATCACTGTATTCCCAATGCCTACTTGGTGCATTGTCTGGCATGCAGTGGGCACTTCTTTATCACAAACACACATCTCCGGTCTTACACGTCCAAATATGTTCCACTTCTCACTGCAGTTGATAGAAAAAGTCTTCCTGTAACAGTTACCTGTAGAACAAGGTTCAAAAATGGCTGCCACAGAACAAAGAACCTGGTCCAACAATTCTAAGGACAGGTGTAGAAAAAGCTAGGAATTCTGAAACATAGTATGGTACTTGTCAGAATCTTTTCTCTTTTTTTGTACCAGGAATTCAACTCAGGAACTTGTGCCGCTGAGTTATCCCCCGGCCCAGTATCTTTTCTATAATAAATTGCATTGTGAATCTCCAAATATGGGGGAGGTGATATATTGCACAAAATACCTCCCACAACTACTGTTTGGCACATCGAATCGTGGCAATAAGGATTTAAGAAGGTGCTTGCACCTATTAGAATTTCCAATAAGCTGGGTGTTGTGGACAGGCATATTTCTAGAGTATTTATTTTGACGGGTAGCCCTTTTTTAGGTTCAGTAACCTATGGACACAGAAACTGAGAGCTACAAGGAACATTACATATAATTCAACAAAGCTTCTTTTACCAAGAAGGCAACCGAGGCCCAGACAGGCAAAGGAGCCGGCTTACAGCCAGTCACATGGCAACTGCAAGGGCCAGAAGTCAACCCCAGAGGCATGGTTAGTCCCTAAGACTTTCAATACAAACAATGCCTCTGGGCATCCGGGTACTCCAAAAGTCCTCACCTCCAATTTTATTTTTAAGCTGTATCTAAGTTAAAGTCGGTGTTTCTTGGCTGCTGCTGGCTCCCTCAGACCCACCGTCCTCGACCCGCCACTCTCTTCCTCCTATTACACGCTTTCTCTGTAATCTTGTGCAGCTGGAACTTGACTGAGATGGAAGGAATAATTTCTTTCCTTCAGTCTTGCAATGTATGAACTTTTTCATGAAGGCAAACAAATCGGTTAATTTTAAGGCCTCCGCCTTAATCCCCTTGGGCGTTACTCCCTACCCGACAGCGCCCTACGCTACCCTATCCCCTGGCTTCCTTGCTCCGACTCCGGATCCCCGATGTTAGTTTTCACCTGGGACTGCCATTGAGCCGTTAAGAGGGATCGATGGAGCCTGCAGCTTTCGAGAACACGTTTGCTTCCCGCCGGTTGAGAAGGGAACGCACAGAGTTCTCCGCCACCCGCACCTCGGCAGCTTTCGCGACCATGGAGGAAGGCCCTGTAAACGTCTAGGGGTACCGGAACCAAATGTCGGCGGATGCAGTTTCCGAGCGAGTCCTATTGTAGAATACACCTGGTCTGAACTATATTGCCAGTTTGGGGGGGGGGTGATCTGTGTGAGTACGACCTGCAGACACGCGAAGGAAACAGCGCTAAGATTTATGGGTCGTGCCTTCCTCTTAATATTATTAGAGATTAAATTGAAAGTTACACTAAGTTATAAGAAACTTACAATCTTTTGTATTTTCCTGGAAGATATAGGAATCCCCGTTCCTATAGCAGTGGGTTAGCGGTGTTCGGGTCCGGGAGCAACATGGCGACGTCCGTAGGTGGCTAGCTTTGGTACCCGGTAGTGTTTGGTGAGCCTGACTTGAGCAGTATCCCTGTGAAGCTTTCCGCGACTGTCAATTTAAAGAGTCGTGTACTAAGAAGTGGACAGCTTTAGTGACTGGTCGTCCTCTCGTTTTGGGGACTAAGAAGCAGAGTCCACACCAGTGACCAGGATGAGCAACATCTACATCCAGGAACCTCCCACCAATGGGAAGGTGAGAGCCTTACCTAGGTTACCTGGGCTCCATAAGTGAGGGCTCCCGATTGGGGCAGGGCATGTGTTCAGGCATTTTAAGGTCGAATATTGACCTTAGCGGCCAATGGATAGTGTTGTATCTAAAACACTGAAGTTGGCACTTCTCAGAATATACTTGGAAAAGTCCTCATGTGGAGATCTGTCCAACTAGCAGTTTCCCTCAAACTTGTTTGCCACCTTCACTGAACTCTTATAGCGTCGCCGTTTTTCGTAGTGCAATTTTGAGACTGCTTAATTTGGAGAGCATTTATTTTTCATCTTGTGTGCAATCATTGAATATTTGCTATGCACCGGGCATTGGACTAGGCGCGAGGATACAGTGATTGATGGGTAGGATCTAGCTGTTATTCCAGAAGAGCTTCTAGTTTTTTTGAGAGAATACAGATAAAGAAAAACGTTACGATATAGCTGATAGGTGTTCTTTTGGAGAGTACAGAAGAGAGAGCAACTAGGAATGTCTTTGAGTTGGCCTTAAAATGAAATGTCAGAGAAAGTGAGGGAACAGGCGGTGTCACCACATTACAATAGAAGCTGACTGTAAGATAATTTGATGGCCATTGTATGACATTTCCCATCTAAGATGTTTGAATAAAGTCTGAGGCAGAGAAATCAATTGTGGAATAAATGTCATCTGAATTCTTGAGCTGAAACCTAGTTTGTATCATATATGAAATGTGATGAGCAAGCACGATGGAGGGAGTAGTGAGACTGAAAGTATATAATGAGGCTGCAAGTGTAGCTCAGTGGTAAGCATTTGCAAATACAGAATCTTGTATTCAGTCCCAAGCATGCATATATTACATACACACACACACACACACACACATATGTGTATGTACATATGTATGTATATATGTGTGTATTTACAGTTAGGATAAATTACATTTATATAAAATATAAATTTGTTGTATGATTTTATCATAAATCTTTTGTATAATCTTTTATTCATTGAAGCAATTTGTGAGCAAAACAAAAATGTGCAAAAATATTTAGTGGATATCTTGGGCAGAAAAATTCTTTGAATTATTTGTTATTTGAAACTTTTCCTAAGCATTATAGATTATTATCCCTGTCCTACCCTCCACTCGCACCAAACTACATCCCACAAACTCAAAACACCTACTTCTTCATATTTGCAGCGTTTCTTGAAGGTATTGTGAATCCCAGGTGGTAAACATTGGTTGAGTCTGAAGAGATTGTTGATTCTATCAGGAAGGACCTTCACACTTGCTGTTCCTCTTTCTAGTGTGCTGTTTTACTTACTCAGATGTAAAGAGGACATTTTTGCTATTTTCTGTGAAGTAACCTCAATCAGACCCTGCATCTTAGCATTTCCTAGGGCTCTTTGCCTATGTAGTTTTTCTGTAGTGTCCATTAATTATTTATTTATTGAACCCTCTCTTTCTTTTCCTCTTAAAGAATACAAACATAAGCCCAGAAACAAACACCTAGAGGAGTATTTGACATAGTACAAAGAATTCAAATACATACTGAAAGAAAGAGTAGTGGGTGGATGAATTAGTACTGTGTTTCTCTTAGCTTCTGTAAAGTATTATCAGTGACTTTGAAGTTTTGCTGCTGCTGCTGCTGCTGCACTGCTGCTGAACAAGGGCAGATTTAATTGTCTCATGCTAGGGAATACTACCCCTCTTTTTCTTGAGCGAAGAATTGTCTTTATATAAAATATATAATATTACTACGTGTAAGTAATAAAACTTCCTTTTAATATTTTTATTATAATTTTTTAAAAGGTGGGGAAAAGGCAGGCTTCAGGTTGAACATGGCTGCTCCACAGGATGATTTGAGATAATCATATAGATGAAAAGCTTTAACAAGGAAAAATTTCTGAATGGGGGAATTCATTCTTCACATATTTATTGAGGACCTGGCACATGCCAGGGACCTACTGGAAAGCAGTAGGAAAAGCAGAAGGAAAGCAGTATCTTTATTATCATAGAGTTAGTTGAGTGAAATGTACATTGAACAAATGCCTATGCAAGTAAATGTAATTATAGATTGTGGTGAATATTTTCTTTAGAGCAGAAGTGGGCTGAAGGAGAACATAAGGCATGTACCATGTTAAGTTTTTTCCTTCTAAAAGCAGTTTGGAACTTGTGGCAACAGTTGCATACTCTGAAACTGGTAAAAAAAAAAAAAGCACTGAATTATTCATTTTAAAATGGTGAAATTTCTTATATGTGAATTATCTCTCAATAATAATTGATAATTATTAGTAATTTACAATATTTCAATAGAATTATTTTAAAGCAGTTCATAATATTTATAAAATTCTTTTTTAAAAAATCACTTTTATGTATATTCCTACAGTAATATAGTACTGTATGCACTTAAGTCTACATGTTTTGGGCAAATAAGCTTCAAGTCTTTACTTTGTCAACCCTCACCTTTTTCACTATAAGTTTGCACACTTACAAGAAGTTTAGAGATTGTTGCTTTAGAGTTACAAAGAAAAGAAGACATGTCTAGATTCTCTTTAAAAACAGGGTTTCATTTTAAGTACACAAGGGAATAATAAGTAGGACAACACATTGTCCTTTTAGGTGAAATACATTTTTGAGATTGAGGTATACATCTGGCCTATTGGAAAACTGGCCTATTAGAAGACACTGAATAGTGTTGTTCCAGATTCACTCTTAGATAAGGGTTTATCCAACCTGTCTTTATCTAAAATGTTTGCTTCCCAGGAGAATGTGAATCAAGTTACCTTGATTTTCCACCATCAATATCAAGTATTTCTTTTTGATATTGTTTCATGCCAAGCCAATCTAGGATCAGGGTTAGCCTTGCTCAGTTTGGCCAATACAAGATTGCATTTGATTTATGCATTGTACGCTATTCAAATCAACTGTGACCCAAGCAGTCCTGGGGATTTCTTATATGGCAGGATCTTAGAGCTTGAAGGACTGTTTTACCATTATAGTATGGAAAATATAGCAGCGGTATAATGACATAGAAAAAACACATTCTTTGTAGCCAGACAGCCATTAGCTGAAATCACTCACTGTGAAATCTTGGATAAAGATACTTATCTGGGAGTCTCTGTTTCTTCATGAAGAAAATGAGAGTAGTGATACCTATTTTTTATGTGAGGATTAAATAGGATAAGATATATAAAGAGTCTGGCAGAGAAGCTGTCATGTGGAAATGTTCAACAAACATCCCCCACACACACAGTTTTTTTGGGGAGGGAGGTTTGGTAAAGGAACTGTAATGGATTGAGAAAATCATACATTTTTCTATTTCTGATTCTTTTACATTGCCTTAAGGGATAAAAAAATCATTTAAAAATCTACCACAATGGAGATTTTTTTCACTTCTCCCATTTGTAGATTGGGAATAGCATAATTTTAAATGTTATGATTGGGTAAAAGGACAATTTTAAATGAATCATTGTAAAGTTGTCTTAAAGTATACTGTGATGGGTTCACTACTTTTTTAGTTTTTGAATTTGCTATACCAACTTTATTAGAAGTGTTGGAATGAAAAACTTAATTACAAGATTGTACTACTGGTTTTTACTTTTATTATTTTGTTTTCTTCATGTTCCTCTCCCCACCAGAACCCATTACTGGTGTTTAAATGAATGATTTTTTTCCTGTGATTACCATTTTTCTAAATTCTAAACTTCTGAAAATGGCATGTCAAATGATTTAAAAGTGTACAGTGAACTGTAGTAAATATTTGAGACTTTGTCAAATACAGCAACAAAGATCAAAGTTCCAAATTATTTCTTCCAAAAGTGAAAAATAATTACTGCATGCTACAAGTTGACTGGAAGTTCCAGTAATTTTCAAGGAAAATGATATTGTAATATAATGACATTATTTTCTTGCAGGTTTTATTGAAAACAACTGCTGGAGATATTGACATAGAGTTGTGGTCAAAAGAAGCTCCTAAAGCTTGCAGAAATTTCGTCCAGCTGTGTTTGGAAGGTATTGTTTGTTTGTTTGTTTGCTTGCTTGATTATGGTGCTGGAGATTGAATTTAGAGCCTTACACGTAACATGAAAGGGCTCTGCCACTGATTACATCACCAGCCCTTCTTAAATTTTATTTTGAGACTTGGTCTTGCTAAATTGCCTCTGCTGGCTACAAACTTGGAATCCTCCTGTTTCAGCCATCTGAGTAATTGTGATTATAAGGATATACTACAATGCCTACCCTATATAATTTTAATGAGAAATTTTTCTCAACAGATACTGTGATCAGTTTTGGTCTCGATTGCTAGCTTCTTTCTTGCATTCTTTAAATTTGGGTATTCCCTAAGATTACTTCTAGCTCTGTATTACCTATACTTTTCTATTGTTACTTTCATTCAAATGACTATTACATTTAGAATTCCAATCAGCTCTTCACTTCTTAACACTAATTTTTCTTATTGCTTAGTGAACTTTTCTGTTGAAAATTTCTATTGTTGACTAC